CTTATTTTATCATCTACATTTTGTAGATCAAATTGTTGATGGCTTGGTAGTGAAGACTGAATTCTGTCCAGCTAAATTTATTACATTATATTGATTCAGCATTTAAGTTTCCAAGTGCTTATCTTCATCACAGAATATATTTCTTATTTTGTATTCGGTGTTTACATGTAATTTATCAATAAGTCACTCAGTATATGCTGCCCCAGTTGTTGAATTACTAGAGTCCCACAATGGACTGTTTTAATTACATATGAGTATAGTAGAGATGGATAACCATCAGCCTCTGATGCCATTGAGCTATAAATCCTATTTTCATGACAACTGGCTATCTCATCTAGGGCAGATGGGAACTGCAATGTGATAAAACCTATGGAAACATGCTTTGCCCTAACCTGTTCCAGAGAAATTAGTTCATATCCTGTCAATTTTTCCCATTTCTCACACATTCTTGAATCCTATATGTCAGGGGGAGCCTGGGAGGGCTGTATTACTTGCAATGTCCCTCCTGAAAAAGAACTGGAAATTCCTTTGGGCAACAAGGGCTGCTCCCATGCTTAAAAATATGCAGGATAGAGAGATTCTGATAAACATGTAGGAGGCAATTTGTGCATTTAAAGGCAATTTTCTTTGATCCAAAATAATCTCTGGTGTCACATGCGACTACACTGTTACCACTACCTGATTGATGCAGTTTAAACACAAAGTTGCTGTTTCTTCCTTTTCCAGGTGCTGCTGCTACCTGCAGGCCAACCCACAGACCAATCGATGTTGGTGCAAATCCAGAGACAGAAGGTGGGTCCCTCTTTCTATTCTAGGCTCTCTTAATCTCTCCAATTTTCTGGAAATCGGGGTTGCTTGGTGGCAGAGCTAAGCATCCAGCAGGTGCTCAATTTACCTTTTCCATAGCAATAAGATTTCACAGCATTAAATGCTATTAATTTTTATGTATTCTTTCTTTCTCTCCCTGCGTTCAGAGGAACATCTGCCTGATGCACCAGGGATGCACTTCATTGAGTGGCACCGAAAGGAACTGATAGAGCGGACCAGCAATGTAG